GTTGTGCAGTTGCTCTTAATATGATCACAGAGGTCATTTATGTAGAGTATTAAGAGAGTTGGTCCTAGAACACTTCCTTGGGGGACACCACTGTTCACGGGTACAGAATTTGATAGGACACTCCCAATTTTGACCATTTGTTGTCTGTTTGACAGGAATGCTTCTATCCAGTTATGCAAGTGTCCAGAGATACCGTAAGATTTTAGTTTTAGGAGTAGTTTGTCGTGTACCACTGAATCAAAGGCTTTACAGAAGTCTGTGTAGATTGTGTTTATTGCTTTGCCCTGATCGAGTTGTGTAGTCCGTATGTTTTTGCAGTGTAAGAGTTGCAGATTGCAGGATAGTTTTTTTCTGAAACGAAATTGTTTATTAGAGAGTAGGTTGTTTGTCTCTAAGTGGAGGATAATGGATTCGTTAATAATTGATTCCATGACTTTACAGGTGATGCAGCATAAAGAGATTGGTCTGTAATTTTCAACTAGACTGCGGTCTCCCTTTTTGAAGATGGGGATGACCGTGGCTTGTGACCATAGTTTTGGCAAGGAACTGGTCCTGAAAGATTTTTCAAAGATTATGCTTAGAGGTTCGGCTATGGCAGTGGGTAGCTTTTTTAAGAAGTAGGCACATATTCCGTCCGGTCAAGTACTTGTGGTTTGTATTGTAGGTGGTGGTGATGGAAAAGCTACTTTGCAAAGATACTGGGTGTATTTCAAATTCTGAGACTAGGTACTTTTTAACTCCACATCAACTTGGGTGCCTGAGTTTTATGGGTATCAACTGCATTTAGAGAGATTTGTCTCTGGAGGAAGGAAAGTCCAAATTGATAATACTGTATTTAGAATCCTAAATATTTTCAAATGAAAATTAGCACCATACTCTTACAATTATCTGCTGTGTTCCCGATCTGCTTTGATCTCAGCAACTAGGGAAAGTCCAGTCTAGAGTCATGCATTTCTGCTGCCTTCTTCAAATTAAGCCTAAAATTACCATTCCATCAGGCTCTTACCTTGAGTAGACATACACAAGCTTTTGTGCTACCACGTTGGAGCTTTTGGCCATAGACTCTAAGTGGGACCAGCTTGGTAAAGAAACAGTGGGGAAACAGCAGTTCTCCAGAATGGACTGAACAATGAAAAAGACAGTGGCAAATCTGTGTCATGCTGTTGCCCCAAAATGTTTGTAATAGTGTAGAAATAACCTTAATTATATTTGGGGGAAGGGGAGTATAATGGGATGGGACTAGAAAAAGGTGTTTGGCAAGATTCATGAAAATCAAAGAATGGAAACAATGGAGAAGGTAGATGAGCCACTTTGAAGATATTATTGTACTAAATTCAATAAAACAGTTATCTATGAAATAGTGAGCTATGAGTCAAAGATCTGTCAAACTTTGGTCCTAGAACATATTTTTGTAAAACAGGGATGAATAATTGATATCTTTGACATTTTGGAATATAAAATCTCTGTGGTCCCACTTATCAAAGAAGCACCTTTGAACATAAATAACCACTATCCTGCTATTTCCTAATCCAACCTGCAGTAACAGTAAATTTCTTTCTCCGCCAGATTTTTTGCGGCTCACTTTGTTTTAGGAAATAATCAGTGGATTATACCTATAAATATTTATACGCATAGTATTTCTAGACATAGCTTTTTGAGATCAACCAGGTGCTGACTAACTGCTGCCATCTAGCTGGCACTGAATTCTTAATATGGGAAGGCCTCCTATTATTTGAATGTAGTAACTGAACAATACAGTTTGATCAAGAGGAATAGAATAAATATAAATGTTCAAGGATTGCATTGGAATTTTTGCTAAAGCTAATATAATGAATCTATTCAAAATAAACTGCTCAGTGAAAATGGCAAAATGCTAACTAGGAGCAAAGGATTCATTTGTATTCTTGCACAAGATGATAGTTTGGACTCAGTTTAAATGTCTTCCACTAAATGTATTGATGCAGATTCTGTCCTGATCCTTCTACAACAGGCTACCACATCTAATAATGTGGTGGAAATTCTCTTATCAACAAAGTAAGGTATGATGACCAGTCCAATTAACTTTTATACAGTATATAAAAGGGGCAGAATATTTTTATTTCAACAACGTATCTTCATTCTATTAAGACAATTGCATCTGCACTGAGAAGATGAGGCTACAAGTTATTTTTTTCAAATCTATAAGATTCTTTGAAGTCTGTTAGTTTGCAAATGGACAAATATGTTGTTGTTGGAACCAAAAGGGCCGTTTCAGTTAGTTATATTATTTGTTTGATTTACAGATAGTCCTCATCATTTAATCATTTATTTAGTACCTATTCAAGGTTAGCATGACACAGAAAAAAGTGGCCTATAATTTATGGTTGTTGCAGAATCCCCACGTTCATATGATCAAAATTTGGGTGTTTTGGCAATTGTCATGTATTTACGATAATTGTAGTGCCCTGGGGTCATATGAACCCATTTGTAGCCTTTCCAGTCAACTTCCAACAAGCAAAGTCAATGGGGAAAGCAGAATACATTTAACAACTGCATGATTCACTTAATAACTGCCTTGCCTAGCAACAGAAAGTCTGGTCCCAATTGTGATTGTAAGTAGAGGACTACCTGTACAGTTTACATTACTACTGCTACCTTTCAACTCAATTTGGTACTTTTTCACTGTGAACATTGTTATCCTAATACCATATTCAGAACCTCTCAAACACTGTGTAAAATTAGCAGACACTGGACATTTCTTTCATGCATTTCTTTCATCAAACAAGGCAAAGGGTTTTATTAAAATTCCATTTTGGCAACCACACTAATTAGTTTTCTTCCTATGGGATTAAAGGGGTTCATGATAAATTATCATCTATAAAGGAAGTGTAAACATGCTCATTCAATTACTTCTGATGCATGTACTGTCCTATTCATTTAGGGTTTAGAAACCAAATGGACCTCATTGTTCCAAATCCAACACAATGAGAATTTTGGAAGGTTGCAATCTGCTGAATCAACACTGACATTTTTGTCATTCTATCACCAGTCAGGAAACATTTTACAAACCTAAGAAAACAAAGACTGCAGAAGTATAGACAAAACCTAGATAATAATAATCAACTCCTAAATAATAATCGACTCCCAAGGCACATCTCAAAACATACATATAAAATTTGATATAGTAGTTAAAGTGTTGGACTTGAAACTAACTGTTCTTGCTTTGGCATGGAAACCAGTTGGTGACTTTGGATCAGCCCAACCCATCTTAACATGATTATTGTGAGGAAAATAAAAGGAGTCAGCATTTATGTACATTGCAAAAAAAGGTGAAATACAAATCAAATGAATAAAATACAGCCAATAGATGGATAATACAACCTAACAAATACCCTTATTCATTTATTTAGAGCGTATTAACCTCCTGTAATGGCTTATAGTGACTCTCAGAAGTACAGTTAAAGCATTATCAAAACATTATTAAACTAAAACAATGTATATTTTAAAATAATTAAATTGTTTTGAAAAGTTAAACAATTAATTAACATATGTTTTGAGCCAATTCCTAAACTCTAATAAGGAAGGGACTTGTTCCAACTCCAATGCCAGTTTGCTCCACAGTATGACCTACATAATGAATCAAGCAGAATGAACAACTGATGTCAGATGTATCCAAAGGAAGGATCAGCAAAATGTGTTCCACTGAATTAAAGGTGCAGAGTGAACACTATAAAATTGGATGGCCTGATACCCATCAAAAAAGTATTATGAGCAACTTGAAATAGGCTTCAAATTCAACTGGCAACATAAGAAGTCAACTGTGGCTTTCAGGAACACACTCCCAATCTCAAAAATCACTTTTTAGTTCCTTATAGTAGAAATATAATGAATTATATCAGTCAATTTGCATACTCCAACAGATATCCAATAGATATTTGAATAACGTCTGTTACTTTTTATGTTTATGACTACATCTGACAGAGCCATGTACTTTGTACAGTATTCATTAATGTTTGCATTGCATGTGAATGTTTTCTAATCAAACACAAAAACTGTTTGCCTTGGATGAACTGTTTTGTACAAACTTGCCTCCAGCTTGTATGGTCCACACTTCCCATCTGTCTAGCTGGTATGTTGCAAATGTTCAAAAGGTTACTAGCTGCATCACCCGCAAGGACCACCTGATGCAACAGCTATTGAAGATAATTAAAGAACCTGCAATATTTGTTTTGCTTTTCTCTCACCAGGAAATAAACTAGTTTTCAAAATATAAATCATAATGGTTATCATACCTGAGCAATCAGATCCAAGTCACTAAACACCGAAGTAAATGTGTAACTGTTTAATACAATAGGCCTATTGTTTGAGTCAGGGGCAAATGGCAACCCACCACAGGCACACAACACCTCCCCCCCCCAAACTAAAATGCAGTGTCCCTCATCAAAATATTATGATAGAGGGGGAAATGAGAAGAAAAGTAAAGATGTTTGCCTTGCTAAACATAACTTTTAGGGGCTCCCTAAGTGTCCTTTGTTGCTAGTTAAGGATAGCACTACCCACATGCAGGTCAGCCCCAAATAATCTGAGGTAGTGTTTTTTGAATTGCATTCACCACCATAGCAGTCGTATCGAGGAGTTTGGCACTTCGGGATGTGCCCCTTCCTGGCTGGGGAAATACAGGCCCACATATGCGGTGGAAAGTTGGTTAGAAGTATGGATGCATTGAGCACACTGAAGTGATGGTTAATTCAGATTATCTGAGGCGTTATGAAAAGGCAGCAGCGCAGAGTTGAAAATTACTACTGTCGTGTCAGAAAGGATTTGGGGATTGTGTATGCCTGGAATCAACAAAAGTTGGATTGAGGGGGGCGGGGGTCGCTTGGCGAAACGTCCCAGGCAGGTTAGGCTGCCTTCAGCCCATTTAGCAGAATCGTCTTATAGGGCTGCCATTAACTCCCTCGCTCTCCAGCTGACAAGTCTCTGGCCCGCCACAGACGCGCCTGCGCCCCGCAACCAAGACCGGGCATGCCAAAAGTCTGAGAGGAGGCTTGTTGGAAACTACCCCTCACTGAGCCGTTCTTATGGCAACCGAGCCGGAGCGATAAACACTCTCCCGCGCGAGCGGACAGGGGGTAAGTTTCTCTGCCAGCGCAACGCGGGAGGGGAGGGTGTGTGCTTTGGCTGGGCTTTTTTACGCGTCCGAGGAGGAACCACCTGTGCGTATTCCTTTTCTAGCAGGAAGCGGAGAGCGGACTCACCGGGCGCCTCACCTGTAGCCACAGCTGAGAAGACTCACCTGGGGTGCCTGGCGCCCTTGGGAGCCGCTGCTATAACCACGCCATGGGGTGCTCGAGCAGCGCTCAGACCAAAGTCAAGGAGTTCGGCCGACAAACTCCCAAACTCCCGGAGACCAACGGATTGTCCCAGTGCGGTGAGTGCTCGGCGGTTTTTAACGTGCGCCAAAGCGGAGGAGTCGCCCTCGCAAGAGTCGCCCTTCAAGAAGCGGAGTTTGGGGGAAGGGGAGTGTAAGACATTCAAGGCTGGAAAAGCCTGGCCGATAAGAGCTAAATCAACGAGGAGAAAGAATAACGATTTTAGGAAGTGCAGCTCCGCACCCCCACCCCCTCCAACGTCTGCAACTGAAGAGCTGCTTACAGTTGCCTTTATTATTTAAGGACACCCTGTTCTTGGTTGCCCTAGTTGATTTCCCCTTTGTGTTTCCCATTCCCATCACCGGAGGGCAGGTAATTTCCAGCCGCCCCCCTCCCCCCCGTGCAAAAGTTAAGCTTTGCTCTGGTCTTGCCCCTTTTCGCACAGTGGTCCCTTCTCTATGGCACTTAGAAGAAATCAAAAGAGGAAACCACTTAATCATTCATGGACCTAGTCATAAAATTGCATCCTAAAAACACACAAGTAGATCCTGAGGAATAAATCCTCACTTTGTTGAATTGAGTCTATTTTAACAAAATAGCATAGAACTGTTATCCTTATTTATAACTAATCAATAATGACATATTGCTCTCTTGCAAGTTGGTTTGTCCTTCATGTTCATTTTCAGCATTTTCTGCCAAATCAAGGAAAACAATGAACTGGAACTGCTAAAATGTTGAGATGAATAATCCTAATGAGGATTATGTATCAGTTTTTAAGATAGCTATGTAAATATATGCTTTCTTCAAAATCAACTCATGTAGAAAATATGGATAAAAACTGTATTTTTGTGTACACTATGATGTGACAAATTCTAAGTATTCCTGACTAATTTTAGTTTAAAATAAACTAAAATACTTTAAAATAAATGTTCTCTAGTTTTGTAATTTAAAGTCTTAAATCAGTTTTCTCATTTCACATTTTGAGGAATTATTCAGCTGCTAATATGTGACAATTTTAGTAAAGATTTTAAATTATATTCTAACTCTTTTAGATTATTTCTTAATCCACTTGACATGCTTTGATAATATATTACATGAAGGATCACTGTTACATACAATATATGCCATTAGGTCTAATCATATTTTTATAATTGTACAGTCAGGAAAACAACATTGAAATGTGAAGCAAAGTCTGCTAACTGGTACAGTTTTTTTAATGCTGATCTCAGAATGGTGGCTATGCTACAGACCACTGGGCAGTTTACAAACCAGTAATCATTAAAATGATAAAGAGCAATAATATTGGTAACAGTATTTGAAGAGATCTATGCCTTTATATATCATTAATCAATTTAGCCCTTGCACACGTAATAGGACCTTCCAACCACCTCCCACTTATAATTAACTCTGTTGTTTTTGCTTCAGTCATGTTGGTCAATGGAGGTTTAGCTCTTGTTATTTCCTCCCTTTTCAGACCTAGCCTGGATTGCTTATCTCTAAGAAGTGATGTTAACCTGCCAGCTATTGCAATTTGTTGCTTTGCTCATGACCTGGCCTTAGCTCATTTACCTATTTGTAACCACAGTGATATACATGTATTTAAAATACATATAGTTCTGCCATATTCCCCAGCCAGGGGTGGGATTCTACCGGTTCTGTCCAGCTCTACAGAACTGGTAGCTCTGAAGAGCAGCAGACACAGAACCGGTTGTGTCTGCTGCTGTTTTGGCCCACCTGCCCTCCCGGGCTCTTACCTGTCCTTTATTTCCTGCTTTTTCAACCTCAGCTGCTTTGTGCGGCAAAGCTGTAGTTGAAAAAGAAGGAAAAAAAGGGCTTTTCCAACCTCTGTGCACTTGCACGCAACGCTGCTCAGCAGGTCGTAAATTGCACTCTCATGACTCACACATGCGCATGTGATGCAGAGCAACAGAACCGGTAGTTATACCGGTCAGATCCCATCCCTGTTCCCAGCGATTAGTTATAGCAAAGCAACATGTGGTACCTTAAAGAATAACAATCTCATAAGTTATAATAAATCATATGGGTAGGATGAGAAGTGAGTAAATAGCAATTCCGAAGGAAACAAAATGCAAAACATTCATAAAAAAATAACTCCATGATTAAAAGTGGCTGCAAATATTTATGTTTCTTTCTCTTTCTTCTTTAAAACACACATTTGATCAACACTGGGAAATCAGATGACAGCTTGCCTATCACAGATAAAAATGACACAGAATCTGACCAGACTAAACTTGAACCCCTAGAGGAGGAGAAGCTTGGATCTTCTTGGAAAAAAACAGATGATAATCTCTATAAAGAGGAGCCTGATGCTTTGATTCAGGAAATAACAAAATGTGACCTTTCTACCTGTCACAGAGTAGATCCTGAGGGTACAGAGCCTCAGCTAACAGCACCAGAAGAAAAGTTTGATACAAGTCAGTGCTTATCTTTAGACTTCCTTGAAGCTGCTGGGTCTCAGGCTGTGAAGTCAACAGAGTTGGCTAGCAATCCTCAAGTTGCCACCGAAGCTGCTGGTTCTTCACATTTAGAATCTCTCCAGGATAAGAAGCCTGAACCTACTGAAACCTCAGAAGGGGACACACCTGAGCCTTCAACAGAGGAAATCCGGTGTTTTGTAACAGAAATTGTGACAGAACTGCTTGTGGATGAAGAGGAACAACTAACAGAGGGTAATAAATATTCTCTTGCAATTTCAAGGGACAGATTCTGCCATGTATGCTCAAACAATTATTTTTATGTGTGAATAGCAATAGTGCTCACACTTAGATACTGTTTCACAATTACAGCCCTCTCTAAGAGGTTTAAGAGCCAGCATATTGCCCCCAACATTCTGGGTCCTCTTTCTGGGAGCAGAAACTTTTGCTTAATAGATTTGAGCAAGTATTTAAGTATTTGAAAGTCATAAGAAAAGTAATAAAAAAGGCTATAATATTAATACCTGTCCAAGACTAAATGACCACATGCTATCTGGTATTAATTTTTCCTTGTTTGTTCCTCCTTCCAATAATGCTTACCAGATAAAATGGTAATTAGATAGTAACTTTACATGGGAAAGCTCTATCTAGCGGTATAGTGAATATATGCAAACCATCTCTAATCTGCAGATGGATCTGCTCATTGCTAAGGATAATATTTATTTCAGGTCAGATAAAATTAATCTGATGCTTGTATGAATTGTTGACCCAAAATACAGGACTGTGTTTTGTCTGGTTTAGATTACTGGAATCTTTTCCCCCCCAAGTGCCATATTGCATTGATTTATATAGTACATCTTGTTCATTCTAACAATTCATAGAAATTGAGACGATCATGGAAAGGAGGAAGTAATGGTGATCCTGCATTTTTACATAAGACCTGACAAACTCTTTTTAAAGGATAATTCTGACCTACAAATATAGATTCTTATACTGTACCACTATGACAGGATCTATGAAAAATGTGTCCTGCTGGAAACAGCATCTGTAGTATCTTATTGAATTCCTTTAACAAAGTAGATAATTTTTTAGGGAATGGGCATTCCATCTATGTGCATATCTGCATGTTTTGACTTGGAATGGCAATAAATCAAGATGATTTAATATAGTTTTAGTAATTTAATTTTTAAATAGTTTTACCAATTTTTTTAACATGAAGGATCCAAATAGTTGCTGATAAAGAGCATTTAGTGACTGTTTCTAAGAAACAAGTACCTATACCTCAGCAGCAATACTAGGTATCTCTTGTGCTTTTCCTAGTTACAGAAAAATCTATGGCTGACAAAGTAATATCTATAGTTTGTTGAGACACTCAGTGCTCTTTTCGGTGTTCCTTACCTTGATCTCTATAGTTACTGTCCCAGGTGAGGCAGGAGAAAAGGTGGAAACTGAGATGCACCATGAGGTAATACCTGGGGCCTCGGAAACAAAAGAAGAAACCAGAGAAGCTCCACTGGTCACGGAGATAAGTATGTTGATGTAATATAATGTAATATATTAAGAACACATTATGTTGTATTGATATTCTTGTGTGTTCTACAGCAGATGTTCATGTAGCAGCTTGTGAATTGGTATGTACATTTGCTAGGAATTTCTTTGAGAAAGTGTTTCAGAAGACATGATGAATATGCATATTCAAAAGAAAACTAGAGATATAGGATGAATCATAGATCTTAAAAGTCATATAGTTTCACCTCTTGTTCAGTGCACTACAAAGATATATTTTTATCCTGTTTGAAGACTTTCAGCAAAAAAAATCACTTTATGTGACAGCCTATGTACATTCAGAAATAGCCTCTTCAAATCTGGTTTGAACCTCTTTTCTTGTAGTTTCAACTTACTGGTTCTAGTCCTGCTCTCTGAGGCAATGGAGAATAGGTGGGCCTCAACTTGTGACTGCTCGCTTAGTGACCATTCAAGTAAATAGCTCCCACATTAGTTACAACCCAGATTCAAAGTTCCAACAGCTGCCATCCACTCCACCAACCCCACGACCATTCTAGGCACCCGGTAACCAGTCCACATTTATGGACTTTGCAGCATCCTGCAGTCATGTGATGACAATTCCCTTTTTCTAAAACTAGAAACTGGCATTTATTTTAGGTTTCTGGCAAAGACACCCCTTACAAAAATAGGTTCACTTTCTGACGGCAACATTTGCTTAATGACTGCCGCAAACCAAGTCATAAAATCAGTCAGGGTCACAATCTGCTTAATGACCAGCATAATGCAATGACCATGATTAACTCAACGCTCAATAACAGACATAACTCAATAACTACCTTTATAAGTCCACTACCTCTTCTGTGTGACAAGTCTTTATTTGAAGACTAATTGCTGACATAATTCTCCTAATCTATTTTTTCTGTAACCTGAACATTCCTAGACCCTTTAACTCAGGGCTGTCAAACTTGCAGTCTGCAGGCCTGATGTGTCACATGCTGGCCACACCCAAGCCCAGTTTAGCAAAGAAGAAAAAAGTTGCAATATGTCATGTGGGATGATGCTGTGACAACATGAGCTTGACACCCCTGCTTTAGCTGTTCCTCAGAATGCTTGGTTTCAAGACTCCTCATCATTTTCGTAGCCTTTCTCTGAATTCATTGTCTTTTTTGATCTGGGATATCCAGAACTAGACAAGAATTCTAAATGATGTCTGAATAGAGTAAAGTAAATGCTACAGTTAAATCCCCTCTAATGCTCCTGTTAACATAGTAATTGCTTTTTTTTTTTAGCAGTGTAGACTGCTGGTTCATGTTTGACTTATGAATTGTTAGCTCCTTCAGATTTCCACCTCCCTTTACTTGTCATTCCTTCCCCCCACCCATAATCCTCCTTCTTGTCACTCCCCTCCAAAGATTATTGTTGAAAAAAATTAGCATAATTTTCTACACCAAACGAAAGAAATACTATAATGGGTGTTGGGGAAAGCAAGCTGCAAATTGGACAGATTTAGCATTTGGTTCCTACACCTCACCCTATAGTTCAATTGGGATGCTGTTTTAAAAGTGAGCATTGCCTTGAATCTTCTGATGTAAACCAACTAGCTGATAATAATAGCTGGAACTACTCGGAAAATGAGATGCTTAATTAAACACTATTAATTCCATAGTTACTATTTGCCAATGTTGTTTTAGTAAGAATCAGACTATTGCTATAGCATTGAGATTTCCCATTCTCACTCATCTGACTACCTGGAAGTCAAAACAAATAAAGACAAACAAAAATGAACAACCTTTTTATTGTTTCTGACAGCAGAGGTTTCTTTCCTGATAAACTTTAAAATTATTTCAGGGAGGAAAAAAGCTTAACTGTCTCCCATCAAAGTACTAACTAGGAGCCATAAAGGTTGGCTACATGCTACCACAGTGCTGAGATACACACACGCACACATGCAGACACAATTTTATTTCAAAATTCTTTTTAATGAACTACAACCTGCATTGTTTCCACTAGACTGTCTTCTGTCACTCCCTCCCTGAGCAAAGGAGTGATCTCCTTTACCTGGTGAGAGCATATAGTTCTCCAAGATAGGAATCGGTCTTTGGTTACATTGAGTAGACGGGGGGCTGCAGTTCATAAAATAATTTTTTTGGGGGGTAACCTCCAAATTTGTGCTACCTCCTAACAACTGCCTGAACATGTCCCTGCCATTTTCTTGGCAAGATTTCAGAAAGGATTTGCCATTGTGTGCTTCCTAGGGAAGAGAGAATATGACCCAGTCAGTTTTGTGCCTTAGGTGGGACTATAATTCAGTGTCTTGGTTTTTAGCCTGTTTGGAGTGCTGCAAATTATCCATCCTTGATCTAATTGGATATCTAAATTATCTATTCAGCTTTAGAGTATCTTCTTTCTCTTCAGCTTTAGGATCTAAATTGTTTTAGGATTCTATTCAAGATCTACATTTTCAATCTGAAATTTATCTTTTTAAAAGCATATTCTATTTTTTTGTTTTACATAAAAAGCATTAGCAAATTTGCATGGTATGTGCACATACCTTTACTTCAAAAAGCATTCACCTGAAGATCTTTAGCACTTTTTAAATTCTGCCTTTATATTACAGAACAAGCTAATGAAGAATGACCCAGGGTTTCTGGCTGGACTTCACGGCTAAACTTTATGGCTTCTGGCTGGACCTTATCCTTGTTCGCTCAGTTAAAATGTATATTCCTGTTTGACAAAAATCTAGTTGTTATAAAAGCTTGTATAAACTTATCACAACTACTGAATACTAAGTGAAAACCATTTTAAGAAATTTTAATGGAAAAATCAAGTTGCCAAGGCACCACTGAGGAACTGCATTGTTAAACCATCACACCTGCCAGAAAGTGCCTCCTGCTATTGTTTCAATGGAACTACAAATTGCAGAACACTCTTACTTGCTTTAGGTAGAAAATAAATATGAAGGATAATATAGCACAAATAATATAAACTGTAAATGTGATTATAGATAAACTTAGATCTAAGAATGTATATGGTCTAAACTAGGGTGAAAATAACTAAATTCCAGTGGAGTTTTTGCAGCCATGGATTATTTAATTGCATTAAATTTCTTAGGTGAAGTTTCTTGTAAACATGTAAGAATTGTAATTCTTATCTGGAAAGGGACAGGATGAGCTTTATAGCATCGATCTTATTTCTTTAATATGGTATACGACAGAAAATACAAATTTCATTTCCTGAAAATAGTGATTGTGGTCCTCAAAATACTTAGATGAGCACTAGTATGAATTGTTGACATTTAAAAATTAGAGATAGCCTGCTAAAAAAACAATTATATTGCAAATGTCAGGTTAAAAATGACATGATTGATTACAGTATTCTTTAAACTATGCAACCAATAAAGTGAGCAGAGCTGTGCTTCACTCATTTTCAGAAACACATTTGTTCTTTGCTGCTATTTGTGCGATATGGCTGGTCTCATGCCTTCTCAAATGTCTCTAAAATGTAACCTTAAACTTTGAAATAAATAATATATTTGTGGAATATGGTAATGTTGTCCAGATATGGGAATCTATTGGGTAAATGTTTATGGGTATTGTAGAAAAAGTATTAACTACATTCTTGGTACATTCAGGAAAGCAGAAAGGTTTTGTAGCTGATAAGATTTTAGAATCATGCAACTTATGAAATGAAGGCATTTTATAGGATATACAGTCCAGTTCTTACTCAGTGTAGGAATCCAATGAATTATTGATGTCCATCACCCCCATTTGAAAACTTCTTGTTGGAAACCACCACTAACAAATCTGTTAGGAAATGCTTCCTAATATTCAGTTTTAATCTCAACAGCTGGTCATTATCATGCTGTGTGAAAAGAGAAAGGATCTGGATACAATGCTTCTATTAATGTAACCAAGATTCTGTTTTATTTAGCTGCCATACCACTATTTGCTCATGTTCAGCTAGCAGGCCTTGCTATTCCTAGATGCATCTCACTCACATTGCCTTCCCACTGAATCAATCCTGTCTGTTCATCTGATCTTTCCTATCCAGATGGAGGTCACTTGTCACAGTGAATCATTCTGTTGGATTTGACCCAGCATTTGAGCCTTTTGAATAGTGAATTTGTCCATAATGTCAATCCCCTTAATTTTGTATCATTTCATCTTGTGAGTCTTTTAAAAAAAGGAGTTGAACAGCACCAGCCAGTGACATCACTCTACTTTTGTCCTGAATGATACAGAACAATTTTTGATCATTCTTTGGGACTTGCAGGTGATCCAGCTACAAGCTCATTGGACTGCAATACCATCTTTATTTACCTTAGCTGCACTTATATGAGAGGACTTCACAGACATTTCGCAATCATGGTGCACACAATCCATAGCATTCCCTTGGTGTAGCAGCTTGGTCATCCTGTCAAAAAAATTAATTAGCCTAACATGATTTGTTCTTTACAAACACTGGTTCTAGAAAACAATATTGCTTAAGTGCTTCCAATGCGGAATGACAGGTTGTGGAATGAATGCTTTCCTTAGTACAGACATTAACTGGTTGGTAGTTTTCCTGATCTTTCCTCTTTCCCTTAATATTGGTTCTTCTCTAATTGTTAGTATCTCTCCCTTTCTCCTGGAGTCTTGTCACAAAACCCCCTTTGCCAACTTCTACTACTCCCGAGATCTAATTTATCTGGCTCAGTTGATAAATTCATTTAAATTACAAGTTCTACCATACCTTATGAGCTATGCCTCACCCATTCTGTCTTTTGGAGAAGAGTTCTCTCTCCTGAGATTAAATGCAAAAATGTTAGAAGAGTTTCATCTTCTCCTTATTCCCCTGTGTACTATTCATGTAACAGGCTTATAGCCTCCTTGATTCTTTTATTAAAAGCATACCTCACAGAACTATATTATTGTATTTTGCATTTCTTACCAGACTTACATTTTGAGTTTAGCATTCCCAAGTCTGTTCCTACAAGCTCATGCGAGCAATATTAGTATTCCACCTTAGTTATCAGGCCATATTTGTTATACATCTTTTTTTGCTTTTCAGGTCATGATCCACACAAGTTAAAGCTTTTAAAGCTTTCCTATTTTCTGCTCCTATGTTTTGTGCTTTCAGTATCTTATTTTTAGATTTCCTCCAAATGATGTTGCAGAATTTCAAGGTGACATCTTCCCATTTTTCATCTAAGTGTATTTCCTTAGGTCCAAGGTATGTGACTGACTTCTCACTTTCTCCCTAGTTAACTCTTTGACATGGTTGCTTTCTTTTAAAATGCCTAAAAGCTTCAGTTAGCTGACCAATCCCTTGTTGATCAGGATTAAGTCAGTTGCCTACCTTCTCTTAATTTTCCAGCCAATCTCAGATTATTTGGAGAATTTTTCAGGTAGTCCTTGATTTGCAACAGTTCATTTAGTGACCATTCAGTTACAATGGCACTGAATATGTGACAATGACAATGGAGATGTTGCAACAGTCATGTTTTTCACACTTATGACTGTTGCAACATCTTCACTGTCATGTAATCAAGATTTAGATGCTTAGCAACTGACTCATGATGGTTGCAGTGTCCCAGGGGTCATGGGAACACTTTTTGCAACCTTCTGACAAGCAAAGCCAATAGGGAAGTCAGATTCACGTAACAACTGTGTTAATATTTTAACACCTGCAGTGATTCACTGAAGAACTGTGGCAAGAAAAGTCAAAAAATGTTGGGCTCAATTGTGGTTGTAAGTCAAGTATCACCTGTATTTAGGAAGATATTGTCCACAACCTCTGGGAGATTAGTAGTAACCTTAGGTAGTGATACCACTTCTGTTTCTTATGCTGCTCATCTTCATCTGTATGCTTTGAACAGGATTTCCAATATTTAGTAGCAAGAATTCCCCAGGTTTGCTCACAAACAAATCCACTCTGCATCCCTTTATGACAGATCTATGGTAGTCCTCAGTTAATGAATGCCCTGTTTAGCAACCATTGAAACTTACATTGGCATTGAAAATATAGCTTTACAACTGTCCTCAAACTTACAACCATTGTAGCATCCCTAATCATGTGATCACCATCAGCCATTTAGCAATTAGCATGCATTTAAGACAGTTGCAGCAGCCTGCAGTCACATGATCACCATTTGAGTTTAATAGACAGCTTCTGACAAACAACCAGTTGAGAAGCTGGCAGTAATTTGCAAATCACAGGCATGTGCTATTCCACTTGATGACTGCAAATAATTTGCTTAATTACAGCAGAACTAACATATGTCCAGCACTGTCCCATGGTGTTTCATTTAATTAGTTATTAACTGTCCCAATTGAATATGACCTACATTTGTTTTTATGACAGCCAGTGTGGTATAGTGATTAAAGACACCAGGCTGGAAACAGAGACAGTAAATTCTAATCCTGCCTTATGGTCAAATTACAGGTAAGGACAGTATTAGTTTTCTGACATTTTGGCCTGCATGTCCCAATTGCAACCAAAGCACAGTTCTCCCTCATGCTATTCTATGCACGCTAGAATTTGGAGATCAAATAACTATGAGGTAGATGCAATAAAATCATGGGGAAAGTTGCATAATATCAATCCCCGATTCATATGAAAGCTGGCAAAGTTGTTCTCCTAGGGAGTGTCTAAATTGTCTAAAAATTGTATCTTAATATTGCAACAATAATTGATCATTAAAAAGAAATAGAGTGCCTAGCATAATACTAGTGCTCTGTTTAAAATGCCTATTTGTCTGGAATTTGCTGTAAAAGGATTTGTGACAATATCTAGTCAGACCAATCAATCAATCACACAGAGTTATACTGATTTGTTGTGGAGGAAATTTTTTTTAATAGTTCTGAATTGACATTCTAATTTGGACAGCCAGTCTGTTTTCCACTCTACTGAATTAGGATCCAAACTGAATCTTCCCTAAACCTGAGTAGATTAGAAGATCTACTCAGAAAACACTAACACACTTTTACAAATAAATAAATATGATGTTATTATTAAGCATTTTCCTTCAAAAGCCAATTACTTGTAGAAAAAGATTATATAAAAATACACAAAATGTATTGTCATGTTTCTCATTACAAAATTTGTAGCAGATTTGAATATTATCTTGTGAATCAGGCAAAGTGTGAACTGGTAAGTTTAACGGCTATTTTCTGTGGAGGGAAGTCAAAACTGTTGTTATCCACACAGATCAGTGTTATAGCAATTTGATTTATTCTTCATAGATTTTTCTTCTAATGTTTTAAAGTATACAATTCTGCTTAACGTTAAACACAGCTAGAGATTAATCGTGACTCCCAAATTTTAGAAAATCTATTCTCTCTTATCTATGACAAGTTTATCTGAAGAGAGCTATTGCTTTCCCAACCTCATAATATGTTTTTAAGCAGCTTGCAGTATTTAGTCTTGTAGTGTCCTTTACTCACAGTATACTCCAATGTTTCTCAACTTGTGTGACTTTAAGATGTATGAACCAACTCTCAAAATTCTCCAGGCAGCACACATCTTAAAGTAACTGAGACTAATGACATTGCTATACCGTGAATAAACAAATAGCCTTAATGGTGCAGTGATGCCTGTGAGTCAATCTGCCCACCCAAATACACCTAAATGAGTCAGATTCACAATTCAGGAATAATATTATTTGAGAGAATCAGTGGCAGAATTGAATCCTATAGACAGTGAGAATGACCACGGCAAAAGAAATCAGAGCTGCTAGATTTTAGCTTGTGAGGCATCTTGAAGGGGTCCCAAAATGGCAATAGCTTCAATCTCCACACAGGCACCCTGGAAGGAAGAAATATAACATATAAAGTCAGGGCAGAGTTGGTTTGTTTAATGTAGAGCTCCTCAATCTCTTCAGCTCATGATGTTTTAGATCACTGTTTCTCAACCCTAGTGATTTGAAGAGGTGTGGACTTCAGCTCCCAGAATTCCCCAACCAGCCTTGCTGACTGAGGAATTCTGGGAGATAAAATCCACACCTCTTCACGTTGCCAAGGTTCAGTTTTTAAATTATTCATCGACAACCCTCCCAAACATTTCAAATATGAAAATAATAAATGGTACTTTATTATGAATAATAATAACAAAAACATTGTCAAGCACTGGAGAAATCAGGATTTTCCTCTCACAGAATCACAGTAATACTCAAACCAAATCAGTAAAACATAACTGGTGACAATTACACTTCAGAAGCCATCCAGAAAAGCTTGATTGTATCAGTTTCTGGAAGGCTATTATCAAAGAACTAACCTCCCTTCCGGGAGAGGCTGCGCCATCACCAAAATGTAACATTTTCTGGCCTCAGGACCCCTTGGTTCATGAAAATGGAACATCACTACTAATTTCTCCTAGAAGACATCTCAGACTGATACCACGTGGAACAAGAGTTCTGAATGTATCTTGGTACCAAGCCATATTGGACTTCATAATTAAAACTAGTTTTTCAAACTACTTCAAATTCTACTGGCAATTATTGAGGTCCTGCAAAATATGTGTAATAATTTCAAAATAACAAGGAGTACTTGTAATAATAATAAGTTGAACCAAATAATAAGTTGAACCAAATGCAGCTTCGGTATGGGCTTCAAAGGTAGCCCGTAAGTTTATTACAGAAGTTCAATCATATAATGGTAAGTAAGGGCACCAGTCACTGTAGCCAGGTTCTTCCATTTCAGTCACCCAGCTGGCATACCAGCTATACATCCAGCAGAACTGTGAACCTGGGTTGAAGGTCTGCTTGCTAAGAAGCAGTACCATCACCTTAGAAAACCCTGGAGCTAACAAAGGAACAACAGCAACTTCATCTTTCTTGGGTTCAACTTTAACTTTGACCCATCTAATCTCCCGGTCCTGGGACATAAATTTAGCATTTCCAGCAGATCTGGGGTAGCCAGATCAAGCTAAATACCATCAGTATATTGATGGCTCTGTACTAGAGATCACAACACAGCTCATCTAAAGAGCAGAGGGCATATATTGATCAATCTGAGTGCACCAATTTGGTTTCCTCTCCATTTCTCTCTCTCTCTCTCTCTCTTGCCCCTCCAGCCAGGTTGATATGGATTCAATCCTCTCCTTGCAGGTGAAAATCCAGGAGTTATCCCATGGTGATGTTGCAATCACAGAAAATATTATGTCTTGTGCAAATTAGAGGAACTCCCTCAATTCAAATGAGAGGATGCACAAAGAAACAGCGCACAATCTATGAGTAAACATAGATAAGACTGCACTGTTAAAAGAATTAGCTATTTTCTCAATATCTAAGTTATATTTAAGAACATAACAAAATGCAAATCTAAAAATATTAAATTTTATAATCTAAAAACATTAAATTCATTCCCAGAAATAAGAACTGATATTTACCTTTGGAAGAGCCACAACCTGATAAGCAGCTCGGGCTGGAAAGTTGCACTTGAAAACTAGATGGAGTAGATAAATAGCTCCAATTAATAATTGATGCAGAAATAGAGAATTTATTTAGTTGAATTATATAAAATAGCAAGTTATAAAGTTAGGTAAGGAAAAGGCCTCCTGGTTCTATAAAGATTCATACAGAATGCAAGTGGATAAATCAGCAAACTAAGAATTTAAATCCCCATTTTTTTTTCAAAAGAAAGCATGTTCCAAAGCAAATGTGCTTGCACGTTATGAACAATACCAAGTAGCCACAAGGATTTATAGAAACAACAATAGAGTTTTAGTCCCATATAAAGCACTTTCCATCTAAAATATAGCCAAATGAAAGAATGCTTTTTAACAGATTATAGAATTCAAATGTTCCTCTACAGTTTCTACCAGTTCTAGTACTGCTTTGAACTTTATATATAATTCACAAACTTATATACCGTAGTTATAGCAGAAGCTTAAGTACATATTTGGATATA